ATGCTATTTTCTGAATCAGCACCCCAAACTGAATCTAAAGTTGACCAAAAACTGATTCGTAATCCTTTTGGTACTAATGTTGGAAAGTGATCCCTGGTCAAAGTGTTCCCTGGTCAAAGTGGCCCCTGGTCAAAGAAAGGTTGGGAACCACTGGCCTACAGTCCAAGAGAGTAGTTTTCACAAGAAATCTGTACGTCCCCCAGCATGACCACAGGAAACTAAGCCACACCGGAGAACCTGGAGATTCCTAGAGAAAGCACTTTAATCAAATCTGTGAATAATTAAATCCAGAAAACCCAAGCCATCTAATGTGGGAGGATGATTGTACAATATTGATGGCAGTAAATCTTGACTTTCCCTGAGACATAGAGAGCGTGAAGTACCCAAGGTCACCCAATAAGTTCCCATGGCTGAGTGGGATTCAAAACCTTGTCTCATATTCCACAGTCAACTACTACAACACGCTGGCTTTCCCACAAGCCCTAAAACATGCAGAGGTCATGCAGCAGAGTCTAGCTCTCTACACTTAAAATTAGCATGTACATGTAGTACCCAAACAATAATTCTTGAAGGAAGGAACTTGATGTTCTTGCACCCATTGCCATTCAAGCAACAAAGAAAATTCCCAATCATCTATTTGGACAGCAGCAGCCTTTCCCAAACTAGTATCTTCCATATATTTTGGACCACCACTCGTGTGAATGGCAAAACATCTGGAACCCACCATGATGGAGAACGCTGTGCTACAAATTGGTTTTGAGGTTATTTGACTGATTCAGTTATTGTCAATAAAGAACTTGTGGAAACCTGGACTCAGTGGAACTCCTACAGCACAAATGACCACCAAGTGTAGTGTTTTATATGAAGTTCTCCAAGAGACTCCAAGACATTAGTCCTATTCAGGATTTTTAGAGACTTTATATAGAAGCACAGAGAAGAAGCAGGTGGTTCTCTGCTACAATCACCCTCCCACAGCTACAAGGAAAATGGGGACAGAAGGAGAGCATAGCAAGTGCATATATATTTCCTGCCCCCTTTCCTCATATACAGAGGTTATGGATACAGTACTTTATTCCATCTTACTGTCTCTAACTAATCAGATCATGCAGATTATTCTACTGAAATAAACCTTATTGTTGTGACAAACCTATAATTGGTATGTTATAGAGATTTCAGGAATTATAGAGTTTTGGACTAAAAAATCATCATCTTCTTCTTCTTCTTCTTCTTCTTCTTCTTCTTCTTCTTCTTCTTCTTCGTATTATTTGGCTAAAGCTATAATTCCCAGAATCCTACAGTCAGTGTGATTCCGGGAGATTTATTCCAAAAAAAAATAAAATCTATATGTATTTGGATTTTGTATTTCTGCATGGAAGGGGTTGGCTGGCCTTTGTGACCTCTTCCATGATTTTATGAACATATGATGACAAGTGAAAGAAGAGCACTGCGTGCACCACATGGGGAACATAACACACAGTCCTTCATTACATTATCTAAAGGAGGCCAAGGCTGGACCAGATGTGATGGAGTGATCACATCTGGCTATTTAGAGCTGTACAATTTTCATCTGAAGTGGTGGTATCTGTACATGTCTGTAGATTTACATTGTTGCTGTGTGTCTTCAAGTTCCATCTGACTCATGGTGCTCCTAAGTCAAAACCAATCATGAGGTTTTCCGAGGCTCTGGATATGTGACTCAACCAAGATCACCAAGTGGGAAAAGCTCTTTTTAAGAAAGTAAAAGAAGGTTGTCAAGGGAAGCCATGTCTCCAAGTCCTTTGACTTAACTTTGTATTCTATCAATTTAGGTACTTTTTGTTTGGACAGGTCTTTGGAATTTCACATTGGGTTTGTTGCCGAGTCTTTGACTAGTCAGGTACTGCTGGTTCACTTCATTCATGTGTTTTTAATTGCATTTTAAAATTCATTTTATGCCTTCTATTTGTTATCTAATTAGCAACCTCAAGTGCTATCTTGGCAAAAAGACAGGAATGTGTTAATTAAATTTACCAATTAATACATCTCTCCTAACCCAATTCACTTTTAATATCAGAAGCAGGATGGTAACTTAACACAGGAGTGCAAGATAGAGGACTAAAAAGGTTTCCTTTGCCCTCATCCATGTCCACGTCATGCTGAAAGACAAAGGGATTTTGGGAACAATATTCTTCACCTTCTAGTCTATGCAGGCATATTGACAGAGAATCAAACAAGACCAGGGCTGAGATAAATAGTGAATATATTGCAATTGCGATATATTATGCATAGTACAATACAAATAGCAAAAGAGAACCAGTTCATGTCTGTCCAGTTTACAGTTCTTTTTTGACATTTTGGAACAAGTACAGGTTTCCATGCTGGGAGTGTTATGATACTCAAAAATTGCCGTTAGTCTGTAATCGGTAAAAGGACAAGGAAAGGGAAAGAAACCAAGCAGTGTTGAAAATAATATTTTAAAAGGTATATAACTTCACAATCGATCCAGTGAAGACAACTCTTTCATAGCAGGCAAGCAAAATGGTGCCAAATGAAACATTTATCCCGAAGTAACACAGAAGCAAGGAAATAATAATTGTCCCAACTTCAGCCGTCCTCATCGTGAAAACCCCTTTGCTTAAACAAAATACAGCATGCACTTTAAAAATATATGATTCAAGCCATATTAGATATTCAAAAAGAAATACATGACGATGACAAAGGTTGACTGAATGGTTTATTCTCAGTTCAGCCTTCTTCACCTGCTTACACACTTCTGTTATCAAGCATTAAGACACATGCAAAGACACACACACACACAAGTACAGTGAGATTTTCTTCTAAACAGAATTGTTTGGGTAATAAACTCAGCCTTGGCAGGTAATATAAACAACTCCAATACGACACGAGAATGATGTGGCTTCTGCCACTTCAGAATCTTCTTGTCAACAATGTATGTCTATAGACTATGTGCAAAATTTTACTTACAAAACACTGCATGGCACCAAAGGAATTGAGGCTGCAATTCTTTATTTACTCACTTAGGAATTTGTTTCAGGACATTTACAGGACTGATGCATGTCTGTTTGCATGCATAGAATTGGGCTGTTGTGTGTCAGAATTGGAATCACCGACACGCCTAAGTCTTCAGACTTTTCATTTTAACATATCCTCTTCCTCTGACATCGAATCATATCTTTCCTTTTATACCCGATTCCTTCCAATCTTAGCTTCTGTTCTTTCCGTCACAATCCCGAATCTACTTTATCCTGTTTACATTCCTATACATAATATTTAGATTAGGGTACTAACCCTGCATGCTCCCACCCCATTGAAGCATTTAAGTCAAAAGCCCAGGCAGAAGTAGCCTGAATTTTGGGGGGAACTGGCAAAAATTGACAAAATCTGTATGTTCTGTTTAGTGTGACAGGGCATTCGATTGGAATGGTATTCACACAAGAAACACACAATGACGTAGCTAATTCTGAAGGCATCACTTGGTTCTGATAAGACTGAGGCAGTGTTATTGAAGTGGTTTGGGAGTTAAGACCACGACTCTAGAGGTCAGAGTTCAAATCCTTGGTGGAAAGCCACTGGGTGAATTTGGAAAAATCATAATCTCTCTGGGTTGTTGTAGGTTTTTTCGGGCTATATGGCCATGTTCTGGAGGCATTCTCTCCTGATGTTTCCCCTGCATCTATGGCAAGCATCCTCAGAGGTAGTGAGGTCTGAGGATGCTTGCCATAGATGCAGGGGAAATGTCAGGAGAGAATGCCTCTAGAACATAGCCCGAAAAAACCTAAAACAACCCAGTGACTCCGGCCATGAAAGCCTTCGACAATACATAATCTCTCTGATTCAGAAGAAGCCATGCACGTCCTCTCTGAACAAATCTTGCACACACACAAACATGATAGGCTTTCCAAAAGTCAGAAGTGACTTGAAAGCACACAACAATTAACCTTAGTGCAATATTCCTTCCGCACACACATACATTTTATGATACAATTACTGACTGTCACACTCTCTGGGGTACATTTGGTTAAGGTGGTTCATCCCCGAATCATACAAATATACAAAAATTATTCTAGTGTTCTTTACTGCAGATCCTTCTTCAGTAAAGATCACTAGAATAATTTTATTTTTGGGAAAAGATCATTATTAAAGTGAAATTATGAATGTGGTGTACTGGGTTACAAAATATGACTTGGATCCTACAGAATGCTGCAGTGTCCTGTTGTGCATGGCTCTATTTATGTTCTGCCAATCACTCCACTAGCCTAGAATCACAACTGCACAGTAGATATTAGACAAACAAAGGAAGGCAGGATTTTACCACTTGGCAACCCATTCCCATGCTGGTAATGTAGTTTTGAGTCTCTGTGGCACATCGACATTCAAGGTAATGTACCAAACAGACGGTTATAACAATGCTACAAAAAAGCAACACAAGAAGCTCGCAGTCATTTCTGTTGGTAGTATTCAAATAAATATGACCAGATCCTGCATCTTAGATCTCTATGCTATCTTGAATTTGAAATATTGTAACTGTGTTCCTAACATACTTACCTGGAAGGAAGCTCAAATGATTGCATTAAGGACTGATTCCTGAGTAAACATGCATAGAATTGGGGTCAAAATCAATTCAATGCCCCTAGAGGAAATTTGTCCTTATTTAGAAAAGCTTTCCATGAGAATGAATGATGAAAGTTACATAAAAAGGAGCATGGCACAGACAACCTGCAGAAGGCTAGGCATTACGTATCCAGTTAGCAAGCTGGCTCTGCTAGATTTAAAGAGCCAGTTCCCTCAATCGCACGTTGGAAACATCTATTAAAAGGCACAAGGCTGCAGATTATCAAGGGCCGAGGGGAAGTGAGACTGCAAAGGAAAAGGAAACCAACTTTCAGCAGATATGCCAAGTAAAACATCACCTATCGTGCCCAATGGGAGAATGAAGAACTTGGCTCGTTCTCTCCTTTATGGCCTCCCAAGCTCCCTTTTGGACTTCCTTGGGGCTGTACCTGTTAGCAGTGCCCGTACTGCTCCCTCCACTGCTATGCTTCCTTGCTCGGCTCAGCCGCTGCGGTGGCTTTGGGTCCTGCAGTCCAAGGGTCGGCATGGAAGGGAAGGTCGAGGCATAACCATGTTCACATTCTGCAGAAATCATCAGCAAAGAGGAAGAGAGAGAGAGAAAATCAGTCAACAGGGAAGCAAACTGGAAATCCCAAGGACAACCAGGATTGGGGGGATGCTCAAATAACCCTCAATGAGTTCTCTGGGTTTAACACAACCACAAAAACAAAACAAGAACTTGTGGATTATGGACATATTGTTTTCAAAAGGGGTGTTTCCATAAAAAGATGTGTAGCTTAATATCAAGTTGCCAGAGAAGGACCCAGAACACTGGAAAGAGATTTCAACACACAGTGAGCCTCTCTCTATTAGGAGTCCCCAGTGGCGCAATGGGTCAAACCCTTGTACTGGGAGGACTGGTCGACCGACAGGTTGGAGGTTTGAATCCGGGGAGCGGGGTAAGCGCCCATCTGTCCAGCTCTAGCTTCTCATGCAGGGACGTGAGAGAAGCCTCCCACAGGATGGTAAAATGTCAATCAACCGAGCATCCCCTGGGCAACGTCCTTGCAGATGGCCAATTCTCTCACACCAGAATGGGTCAAACCCTTGTACTGCTACGACTGGTTGACCGACAGGTTGGTGGTTTGAATCCGGGGAGTGGGTAAACTCCCGTCTGTCAAGCTCTAGCTTCTCATGCAGGAACATGAGAGAAGCTTCCCACAATATGGTAGAATCATCTCAGTGTCCCCTGGGCAATGTCCTTGCAGACAGCCAATTCTCTCACACCAGAAGCGACTTGCAGTTTCTCAGATTGCTTCTGACATGGAACAAAAAATCTCTCTAATGCATCCAAGGCCTTCCATCTTTGTTGACTAGCATTCTTAGCATCCAGATTCCACAGGCCTAAGAGGTCTGCTACATCTGGGATGCATCAAAGGAGGTGTGGAAGGTTGATCCGCCAATACAAGTACATCTCCACTGTAGAATAAATGCTGTTCGATGGCACTTTAATTCCCATGACTACGGAATCAGAGACATCAGAAGTCTTTGGTAGAGATGGCTAAAGACCTCCTAAAACTACAACCTCTAGGATTCCATAGTATTTTGCCATGGCGATTCGAGTGGTGCCAAGCTGCATTCGTTCTACAGTGTAGATGCACCCTTTGCGCCTCCTCGCACCCATGTTTTGTCCCCCACCAAACCTCTCCTTCCCATTAAGAACAATTGGCCCTCCCCGATTTCCATGAGGAGGAGTCCCTCCTGCCCCCAGTTACCTCTCTCTCTGCGCTCCAGGTACTCAGCCGCCTCCAGAAGGCGCTGGATGTTGATCATTTCCACCCGCTCCATAGCCCTGGAGGTGGATGGGTCTCCCTGCCACCCCAAAGAGCAGGAACAACCCTCCTCTTGGGCACTGGATGGGGCAGGAGCTTTGCCTCTCCCTTTCCTTGTCCTGCCACTGGCCTCTTCACAACAAGTCACCCTACCAGGGAAAGAGGAGGGGGGCAGGCAAGAAACTAGAGGTTGCCACTTTTACTGCTTCCTAGAAGTTCACCAGGGAAAGAGGTCTTGGAGGGGCACCACCATTCCCACTCCTGCAGAGCCTCAACTCCTTCCTACCAGCAGAGGCTGCCTCTAAAGGACTTGCTTCTGCCCTGCCCCCAGACCCCTTCCTCCTGAATTTCTCTCTTTAACTTGCCATGGATCTTCTTTGCCCCCCCCCCTTTTACATACCCCAAGTCCTAACCTATCTCCCTGATCTTGCCCCCCACCCTCTCTTTCACACTAACCCTGCATTTTCCCCCCTCTTGCAGCCCTTTCCTTCTCCTGACCCTACACCTTTCCTCTCCACTTCAAGGCTAGACTGCTCTCCATGGTCCCAGGTCTCTCTCAATCTCTTTCTCTCTTGTTTTTGCCCCGGGATCTGGCCGCTTTCTTTCTTTTTGCCTCTCTCTCTCTTTCCCTCCGCCTCCTGCAGCAGCAGCAGCAGCAGATCCTGTCGGTCCCTGCCTCTTTCACAGTTTGTTTACCTCTGCTTAGAAATCATGGGGAAGGGAGGGGAGGGGGAGGGACAGCCAGGCACACGAGACCCTGCCCCGGCGGCGCCTGGGAAATGGAGTTTTTGGAGTGCTCGGCGCGTGCGAGGAAGGGAGCAAAACAGCCGGCGTTGCATTCTGGGGAAAGTGGATGGACTGGGACGGGATGGGGCTTGGCCGAGGGAAGGAGGAGGAGGAGGCTGCTCAGGCACCAAGGCGCCTCTCCTCCATTGCTTCCCTTTATGAGCGCTCTCTCTCTCTTTCTCTCTCTCTCTCTCTCTCTCTCTCTCTCTCTGTGTATTGGCATTCCTACCAATATACTGAGGAATGTGTGCATATATACGCATACTTACATGCATACATAGGCATACTGCTTGACTGTGTGTGTACACAGTCTAATGCACATATTATTATTATTATTATTATTATTATTACAACAAAGGTGGGGGTGCTTTGTAATAAGTTTCATTTTGCACACCTCTATTATTATGCAAAACTCTAAATATTATACACACCTCATTATTATTATTACAAAGGTTGGGGGTGCTTTGTAATAAGTAAGTTTTATTTTGCACACCTCTTATTATTATGCACACCTCTAATTATTATTATTATTATTATTATTATTATTATTATTTATTACAAAGGTTGGGGTGTTTTGTAATAAGTTTTATTTTTCACACCTTATTATTATTATTATTATTATACAAACTCTAAATATTATGCACACCTCTAATTATTATTATTATTATTATTATTACAAAGGTTGGGATGCTTTGTTAGTGAGATCATATCTAACTGGTCTGTGTATTTTCCCTGAACTCTTTAGTTTTATTCTAAATTGGGCAATAAGAAGTTCGTGATCTGAGCTACAGTCAGCCCCAGGTCTTGTTTTCACCGACTGGATGGATGTCCGCCACCTTTGGCTGCAAAGGATGTAGTCAATCTGATTTCGGTGCTGACCATCTGGTGAGGTCCATGTATAAAGCCGTCTTTTACCTGATTTCGGTGTTGACCGTCTGGTGAGGTCCATGTGTAAAGCCGTCTTTTAGGTTGTTGGTAGAGAGTATTCATTATACACAGCGAGTTTTCCTGGCAAAATTCTATCAGCCTGCGTCCTGCTTCATTTTGTTCTCCCAGACCATGCTTGCCTGTGATCCCAGTTGTCATTTGACTTCCCACCTTGGCATTCCAGTCTCCTGTAATGAAAATAATGTCTCTTTTTGGTGTATTATCCAGTAGGTCCTGCAGATCCTCATAGAACTGATCTACTTCTGCTTCTTCAGCAGCTGTGGTTGGGGCGTATATTTGGATCACTGTAATGTTGAAAGGCTTTCCTTGCACTCGAATTGAGATCTTTCTGTCATTTTTTGGGTTGTATCCAAGCACCGCTTTAGCGAATTTCTTATTAATTATGAAGGCTACTCCATTTCTTCGATGTTCCTCTTGTCCGCAGTAGTAGATCTGGTGGTCCATTCCAGTCCATTTCAGTTCGCTGACCCCCAGAATGTCTATCTTTAGTCTTGACATCTCACCAATAACAACATCCAATTTGCCCTGGCTCATAGATCTTACATTCCAGGTCCCTATGGTGTGTTGATCTTTAGAGCATCGGATTCGTCGTTCACCTCCAGTACCGTCGGCCGCTAGCCTTCCTTTCGGCTTTGAGCTAGCTGCGTCATCACATCTGGGGCTAGTTGAACTTATCCTCTGCTCCTCCCCAGTAGCATTTTGGCCATCTTCCGACCTGGGAGTCCCATCTTCCAATGACATACGACATATCTCTGGTTGTACTGGTCCATTTAGTTTTCTTGGCAAGGATACTGGAGTGGTTTGCCATTGCCTTCCCCAGGGATCACGCTTGGTCTGACCTCTCTGCCACAACCGTCCCGTCTTGGGTGTCCCCTCACGGTTTCGCTCATGACATCATTGAGGTGCTCAAGCTCCAGCGCCCGACAAGGCGGTGATCCTTTGCTGGAGACTCTATGTGTATATATGAAATATATTGATACTGGAGCAAGATGTCAATAAGATGCTTATACACACACACACACACACATATGAGCAAGATATAACAATAGGATATGAGCAGATGCATACACACACACACACATATATATATATACAGACACATATGCATATACATACATAGATATAGATTGATACATGCAAGATATAGATATTGGAGCAAGTTATAATTTTAAAAATACTTCCACAATTAAAATACACGTAAGGTAAGGTTAAAGGTTTCCCCTGGGGGGTGGTGTTTCATCTCCATTTCTTTGCTGAAGAGCCGCTGTTGTCCGTAGACCCCTCCAAGGTCATGTGACCAGCATGACTGCATGGAGCGCTGTTACCTCCCTGCCGGAACAGTACCTATTGATCTACTCACATTTGCATGTTATTGAGCTGCTATGTTGTCAGTAGCTGGGGCTCACAGCGGGAGCTCACACCGCTCCCCGGATTCGAACCGCTGACCTTTTGGTTGACAAGTTCCGCAGCTCAGCGATTTAACCCACTGCACCACCAGGGGCTCCAAAATACATGTATAATACAGTAAAGCCATGCTATATTACATTTGTGTTTGTCTTCATTTGCTTTTAATTACTGTTTCAATATCCATAAGTCAATACAGAGTTTATAGTATGGCAAAGTATGGGATATGGTATGAGTTAGGCAATTTTTAAAAATAGTAACTCTCAAGCAACCAAATACCAGTTATCCAACATCTACCAATCGCCACATGTGCTGGTTAATTGATAGTATAATGAATATATATAAGCATCTTGCTCCATTGGTGCTCCTTCCTCCAGCCAATATATATGTATGTGTAGCGTACGCATGCATACACACAAAGATACGTCTGTATTAGTCAAGAATACCAATACCATTGGATCAAGAAGAAGAAAACGTTTTAGGATTTATCATATACCAAAGTTTTAGGAATGTATAAACGTCCCATATGGAAGTACATCGGCATCTTAAGGGTCAAGGATTTATAGGCATTTTATTTTAAGGGTCCTTTCTTTTTTATGGATTGAGCCATGAAGGTCATAACAGCCCAATCTCTACCTGCTACACTGGGGGGAGAGAGAGCTGCATCACAACACTAGTTCAAAGGCACAGATTTGTCTGGACAAAAGGATGTTTTGGCATAATGGAGACTGCTAGTATGCAACATATATACAGCATGATTCCTTTGTATACAAAATGAGAGCTAACTGTATCCATGTTATTTAAAAAGACAAAAAGAAGCTATGAAAAAATAAGCCAATAGAGAGGAAACAGTTGTTACGTTTCCACTTAATCTGTGCGGGCTTTAATTTCCAAGGGAAATCCATGTGCAGTTGATCCTCTGTATGCATGGATTCTAAATCCATGGATTCAACTATTTATTTATTTATTTATTTATTTATTTATTTATTTATTTATTTATTTAAATAAACAAATATTCATTTATTTAACCCCCCCCCCAAAAAAAATACTTGATTTCCCATTACAAGGGGTACCATTTTACAACATGATAGGGCCCACTGTATCCTGACACATCGTATTTTGTGTGTGTAGCAGTGCTGCTAAATAAAACACAATAGTAGAGAGGCAGCTAGTCAGATAGGATGTTTGTTGCTAATCCATTCTAGGTGGCGTTAAAAGCACAAGGTCAAGCATATTCAGAACCAGCCTGCCAAATCTCAGCTTCTGGAGGCAGGAATATCTTCCTCTAGAGCTGTGTTTCTCAATCTGGATGTTGGGACCCCAAAGGGGGGGGGGGTTAGAGGAATCGCCAAAGATCATCAGAAAACACATATTTCTGATCGTCTTAGGAACCCCTTTGACAGAGAAGATCTCTCTGCCTGTCTTTCTCTTCCTTTTTGGTGTTGGTGAACTACAACTTCCAGAGTTCTAATCCCACCGGTATTCAATATTAGTCATGTAGGTATTGTGCCAAGTTTGGTGCAGATCCATTGTAACTGGGTTTGGAATGCTCTATGACCATATGTTAATGATACATCTCAGCAATTACAACTCCCAAATGTCAAGGTCTAATTTCTCCAAACCCCACCAGTGTTTACATCTGGGCATATTGAGTATTTGTGCCAACTTCCAACATTGTGCCAGATCCAACATTGTTTGAGTCTAGTGCTCTCTGGAGGTAGGTGAACTGGAACTCCAAAACGCAAGCTCTCCCATGACCAGTATTTTCTGTTGGTCATGGGAGAGCCAAGTGCCAAATTTGGTTCAATTCCATCATTGGGGGAGTTCAGAATGCTCTTTGATTGTAGGTTAACTATAAATCCCAGCAACTACAACTCCCAAATGACAAGATCAATGTCCCTCCAACCCCACCAGTATTCAAATTTGAGTATTATTTGTGCCAAATTTGGTCCAGTGAATGAAAATACACCCTGCATATCAGATATTTAAATTACAATTCATAACAGTAGCAAAATTACAGTTATGAAGTAGCAACAAAAACAATTTTATGGTTGGGAGTCACCACAACATAAGGATCTGTATTAACGGGTTGTGGCATTAGGAAGGTTGAGAACTACTGCTCTAGAGCAAGGCTTCTCAAACTTTTCCACTTGCGACCCAAGATGTATAAGTATATAAAATGAGTATAAAAACCAAACATTTACTGATAGCAAATCAGCACTTGAAAGGCTTGCTCAATAGGCTTGTTTTCTTTTTTTAATGAAGTACAGCTGAAGCATCTTCTGCAGAGTCCAATATAAACTCTGCAGAACAGATTCGTGTAAATGTCTAAAACAGCCACTAAGTGATGTTCAGAAAACTTTCACTCGTGACAAAAATTTTGGAACCCTAACATTGAGCTAAGGAGATGGTATTTGGAGTCACGATCCGCTGTTTGTGAAACAGTGGACGAGAACTGTTCATTTAGCTGTATTAATGAAAATCTCACTGTGAAGAATAATGTGTGAAGTGTGAAGGAAAGCAAGGGCAACCTCCATCATTCATCCAATGGCTGTACTTCCAGAATTTGTACTTAGAGCAAGGAAACTTC